GGTGGAGAAAAGGGAAAATCACTCATTTGTGGACAAATCCCTTGGAAGGAAAGGCAGACAAAATCTCCTTCCAGGGCCTGGGGGAGATTTATATCAAGTTTCAGCACAAAGAACCATGGTATATATCCTATAACATCCACACACAGTGTTCACAGCAAGTTTGTCTCAGGATGGTTCATCTTCAGAGGGGAGTTCACAGTGACAGGTCACTTGGCTTTCTTGCAGCTGATGCTAATTTATTTCATGGGAATATAATAAACAGGAATAGTTGCCCTGGAGCATTTACCATAAGATCACAGGAAGTGGATTTGCAAAATGAACAGAGCTGCATAAATATAATAAAGACAAAACTTCTCAGGTGCTAAAATACGTGACTTCCAGGGAAGAGCAAGACAAATGGTCAGAATGGTTACAGTAAGCTGCTACGGTGTAACCAGCTCTACAGCTTGACTAAACCACCCCTTCTCCTGCCTTGCAAACAGACTCAAACACTTATTCCTGCCAGTCAAGTTAAAGCAGTAAAACCCCAAACAATTCCACAAGGCAGTATCAGACCAGAGCTCAGGACACTGCATTTCTGCAACAGCAACATCTGTCTCCAAAACAATTTTTCCCCCTTCTGTTTCACATGAGATAACAACAACTACAGACCACATCCAGTGGCAAAATCCAACAGTGTATGCATCTACCTGAAGCCACTTCACACTTGCCTTCCATAGGAAAAAAGCAAATCATCTGATAGAAATTAAATCTCCCACTTTTCTGGACTGTTTAACCAAAATGACCACGAGGGCCTGACTCATTTCAAAAACAAGTGGTAGCTCACCACTACAGCTGACGCCCATCTCACTTTCCTCGCCCACCTAAGCTGAGCTTATACAGTAACCACTACTCCAAGACAAAACTTGTCTCTGCGGTGCTTCATCAGAAGTGCCCCTCCTCATGGAAACATTGGGTAGTGGTGTATTGGTACTATGGATCTATATGATCTGTTGGCACTATGAACTGAAATATTGGCCTAGGGACCACCCAGCTGTACAGGTACCTTCTGTACCTTTCTGCACCATGTTCCCACTTCTAGACAGGATCATCTGTATGTTCTTTCCCTCCCCTAGCTACCAGAGGAGGTTATGCCATGTCCTTGTCTTTCATGCTCTCACCATCAATGCACACCTCCACCCAAGTGCTTCAGGAAGCAAACAGACATCTTCTTTGGTTTCTCTGCTAGCACGAGTCGTGTGAACCACGACACGTGACATGCTGCACTGCACGCTACCCACACTGCTCTTCTCCTCCTTTCTTTATCACCTACAACGATCTGTAGGAAGGGCCACTACTTGCTCCAACTGTACCAGATGGCAAGGCACAGCTTTTAGACAAAGTGCAGAATTGCCTCACAGGGTTAACGTCTTCTTGTCCCCCCACTAACACGCCCATCCCACCATCACTACTTACAAAAAAGCCACTGTGTGTCACTGTCTTGTTTGCTGTGCCTGGAACATTACCTTCTCCATACCTTCTCATTCTCCTCACTTCCCCACTCTCCTCTTTTTCTCTTAGTAATATAAGAAATGGAGAGTCCCACAAACTAGAGACCCCATTCCTGGGTTTCATTCTCCTAAAATGTCTGTAAGCTATCCTGTGTATATACAGACACACATACACATATGTCTGTATGTATACACATATAGGTTTCTTCCATTCTTATGCTTTAATCCAGAATTAAGGATTCTGTATTAATCCTGACACCAAGATGGTAGAAGTTCACAAAATATTAAAAATAATGAGATAACCTGTTCATAAAATACAGGGCCTGAAAAAGGACACAGAGAGTCTTCAGTCACAGAAATATACTGAAAGATGCAAAATCAGCAGCTCTTTTAAACCCAAAAGGTTAAATTTGAAACATCATTATTTCTTGAGAGAATTATTTTGAAGAATTCATTGTTGAGGAAAGTACTGAGTTTTATGTTCACAGCTCTACAGCTAGATTTCTTAAATTAAGCTCATTTCCTTACCCCCATCCTTCCACCCCCATAAACATCAGCTCATTATTTTAAAAATACACAGTGAATAAGAAAGAGGCAATTTAAGACGAGGCACTGTAGAAATTGACTGTAAGGGGTGTTAAAAGAATGAATCAGTACATGACTTCCCTGTTCTTTTACTCTTCCTTAAGCACCTGCTTTTGACTACTTTTCTGATTTCTCCTTGATGCTTGACCCTAACGAAACCTCAAAGACCTCCTCGGGAAAGGGGGAGCTAAAGGAAAAAAAGCCACAGAGAAAAGAAGTGTTTCCAGTGCCTCCTACCTGGCTTTGGATAACCTTCATGCTCCAGTGCTACTCAAAGCACCTCATTTGTTGAGAAATACAGCTTTAGACTTACCAGTTATCATTACTAGCTGCTTCTACACAATATTGGTTTTCCTATTAAACTTAGAAAAATCACAAGTTCCTTGCTAGCAATCAGTTCTTCCCCCAGGCAAGACACAGGCTACCTGCAGGAGGGAACCAGTGCTTGTCATGAGTATTTGTGGCATCTGCAGTAAGCCATTCTTCGACCCTGCAATGACTGTGGATCAAATTAGATCTGCCAAAAATTTTGACTGAATTTCTACTAGCATCATATTATCCTTAATCTGCATAACGGTTGCAAATGTATATAATAAAACATATATCTAACTTGACTCAAGTCTTTTGCAAGGCACACTCCCTGTCTGAAATATTCAGTACTAAAAAAAGACCAGAATATCATCAATGTAGGAAACAAATGGTCAGGAAACCTGGGTGGAAAACAAAGATAGATTCCTAGAGAAAGTAATTTTAGATTAATACAAAAAATAGGGGTTTTTTTCTCTCTTCATGTTTCACAAAGAAATATAGAATTATTCAAGTTGGAATTACCTCAGAAGGTCATCCAGTGCTCAAAGCAGGCTTAACATGGAATCCAGACCAGGTTGCTCAGGGCTTTTTCCAGTTGGGTCTTGAAAAACTCCAAGGATGGAAATTCACAACCTCATGGGCAACCTGCTCCACTGCTTAATTACCCTGATAGTGAATATGTTTTCCTTGTATAACATTGACCCTGATGCTAATTTACATTGTATAAAGTTGAAATCTTCCATTTCAATTTGTCATTGTCTTTTGTTCTCCCAATATACATCGCTGTAAAGAGCATGGCTCCATCTTCTCAGAAACCTCCTTGTAGGTCTTGGATAGCTGCTGTTAGGTCCCTCCAATGCCATCTCTTCTCCAGGCTGAAAAAGCCCTGTTCCCTCAACCTCTTCTTGCAGGGTAAGTGCTCCAAGCCCTGACCATCTTGATGGCCTTCCAGTGAACTCAAGTTCACTGATGTCTTGGGAGAGTCCAAAACTGGACACAGCGTTGTGGATATGGCCTAAGGCGTGCCGAGTAAAGGAGAATAATCACTTCCCTGAATCTTCGGCTGCGGTCCTGTTGATACAGTCCAGTCTGCTGCTAGCCTTCATTGTACTGTGCTGATCAAGGATGAGGATGTAGTTCATTCTTGGTTTCTTGTTCAATCTTGGTCCCGTTGGCTGAGCCTGTCAGCACAGGTGCCAAGTAACACCAAAGAGCTGAATGAGCAAAGCAGAAGTGCAAGATTTTCTGCCTGATGTTGCAGCCTGTCCTCACTTCATATAAATGGAAGACCATCTCTTCCATCGTCACCTATCAGGATATTGCTTCCTCACACCACGTAAAATCATATAAACAACCTGTTAGGGTAGCAGAACTGCAATGATGATGTGAGTCTTCCATGGTCTTAGGCTGTTTCTCTATATATATGAGCTATAGATAACAAACCACTCAAGCAAAATCACAAGTTCTGTTACATCTTTCCTATAGTGCTCTAGATCCATTTTGCATCAGAAATTGCTCAACCCAGAAAATACCATGAGGGTGTGGGATTTTCTGGATGAATTTCAATGTGAAGATGCAGCCAGACATAGCATTATACAGTCAGAGTTTACCAGCCAAAGTGTACACTTGTAACCAGGGACACACACAAAAGGGAGCTGCAAGAAGAGGCTCTATTTCAATAGGAAAGCAGGGTTTTCCACCTAAAATGTGACAAGCCAATAGTGCAACATGAAACTCAAGATATTATCAGTCCTCATTCAGTTTACTAGCATAATATCAAACTTCCCTTATCTAACATGCCAACACCATAATGAAACTAAGATAAAAAGATGAGCAAGCCTACTTCATCCAAGATGTCTAAGCACCAATAAACACGTACTGCATTTCTCTTTGCTTCAATAAAAATACTTACAGATTGTATCAGTAATTTTTTTCACTAAAGTTAGAGAGGAAAAAGCATTAGGATTTTATCAAGCATAGCCAGAAAAGGCTTCAATTTTAAAGGGGACTGTAGAAGTGGAATTTGAAGTTGGGTCTCTGAATCTTAATGTCTGAATTGCACGTGAATGCACTGCCAACCCTGTGGAACCCAGAATTTCCCACACATTTTTACTGGCAGGCATTGATGCTCATGAGTGTGCAGCCTGTCTGCTGTGATTGCCTGAAGAAAGCAGCCCTTGACTTACGAGCCATAAGAAAACAGAGTAAGTATATACACCATAGTGTATTGTTTTACCCACCATCGCTGTATCTAAACACTAAGAAGGAATCTCTTTATGAACACTTTACAGGGAAACTTTTGAACACTTTTGAACACTCTATGAACACTTCTGTATTTTCTTATATCCAAGTACAATATATTCACCTTCTGTGAAAAGGGGTTCTTGCACAATTTTACAGCTGACATATTTTTCATCAAATCCTGCCTGCATTCATAGTTCTCTACTGGGATTAGGAGCACATCATTTGAGCAGGAATAATGAGGAGAAATACGCAGTGGTTTTAAAAATCAGAAATGGTGCTTGTTTATGACAATATTTGCAGCTCTTCCATCTAAGTACCCAGACAGATTGCACATACTCCCACAGAGATGGAAATTAATAATATGTGAAATACCTGTGCAGTTTGAGCGTCACAGTTCCATAAACAGTAGCAAAGCCCAGAAGACGAACCCATCTTAGGAGAACACAGCGAAATACACTTGGCTCAAAATACAAAATGACAACCTATAGAACAGAAAGATAGAGAGAGCTTCAGTACCACTTTAATGTGAAAGTAGTTCTTCATTCAAATGCAGAATAGTTGCAAAACAGGACAGCAGACATATTTCAGCTTGTACTGCTGTATATTTGGATTTTCTAGTAAAGCGATGGGATGTTCAGATCAACCAGCTGGCACAGTTCTAGGCACCAACTCCTTTTGAAGGGAGCTGGCAAAAGCCCTGTGACAGACTGTAAAGTGACAACACTTTTAAATGCAATTCCACTGACTTTTCTTAACAGAGTGAAAACATGTACCCAGAGAAGAGGATAGAACAGACAAGGACATTTTCCTTGAGCTATTCCAGTAATATGCAGCTGGCCTAATTCTGGTTTGATGGACTGTACTTACTAGGTTACACTTCAAAGTCACTCCTTCTAATAAACCTAGCAAAGTGACAGCTGCTTATTTTTCTCTGCTGACTATTCTGCCACACTAAAAATGATTGCACCAGCCTCACTCTATCCCAACCCCCAAAATCATATGTGACTCTCTCTTATTCTTCCCCATATATTTTCCCTAAGCTATACCAAATCTCCCTATGCATCACCACTTTCTTGATGAAAATAACCTTTTTGTTCACTTACAGATTTCCCTAATCACAACAACAGAAAGGTCCTACTGGCCTTTTGCTCTATCTACCAAGTACCATGCATGAGGACAACACTTAAAAAATAGTGACAATAAGCTACTTCTGCAGGTATAGTGCGTATAATAGCATCATTACCAAGTAAAGTGCTACCCTTATCTAAATAGGGCTGTTCAAATGGCGGACTCAGTCACGATCTGAACCAGGAGCCCATCTTTTCTCGTTCCAATAGATGTTGTCCCTGGTATCCAGAGGGATGATCCCATACTCCTTCCCTCTTGCCCGGCCCCACCAGGAAGGAGCCTGCTGTCCCAGGGATTTGGCTGTACACTGCCCTTACTGAACCTGCAGACCCTGCTCGGTCCAGCAAAGGTAGATCCAGTGCATCCCACCCGTCTGACCAGAACCTTGTAAAACAACCCAATGCACCATAGTAATTGGGTAATCCTGGTCTCTACAGAAAGAAAGCACTGAAACATTTCAGGCCATCTGCCACAGCTTCATTTAGAGTCAGTACATTCTGGCAGTAGAGGTATTATTGTGCCTACCGGCTGCCACATGATATTATTTTCCTAAGTAAATGCTTTTCTATGTGGGAATTCAAGCCTGGGATATTGGCCAAAAGCCCAGGACTATGTCCTTTGGGTGACATAGACATATTTAGGAGTGAGGGCAAAAATGGCAGACATGTGGGCTGAGAGAGATAGAAGAAGCTGCTGTGATTTGCTGGCATGTTTTTTTACAGCAGAATCAAGCTATTTCTTTAAAAAAATGGTTTGTGAAATCAAACCATGATGCAAAATTTACTCTGTTTTTTTCACCGTTATTGGACTGACATGTTTCAAGGTAGACATTTTCCGGGAATCTGACAAATTCTGCGTGTGAGGAAGAGAATAGCATGCAGCAAAAGGCCCACTTCTCATTGGAAAATCAGCTGGAAAACCAAAATGCATCCACACACACATATGAACATGCTTGTGTAAATAGAGCATCCAGCAAGAAGTTTCTCAGAAAGACCTGAATGACAGCAGTGACCTTTTATCCTAATACACAGTTATACCCATTAGGACAGTTGCAGAATGAGAGCAAAGTCTGTAGCAGTAACCTGCTTCCTGAGGTTTGCCAGGGGGTAGAAAACACCCCATTTCACCTTTGTTTCTTCCAAACTAGAAAAACAACACCAAAAACGACTGGCATGCAGAGACTCTGAACATTTCAAAGTTGATCTGGAAGCAGAATTTTTCAGATGATTGAAATGGAAAGGTCTGAAAACTTTCCAGGCACAGAATTTTCTGAGCAAGGGCAACAGCTCTCTTTGCCATGAAAACTGACACAGCAATTTTATCTGCAGTTCCTTGCTGAAATATTAACTGCTTGTGTCTAGAAAATCTCATTGATTTGCATTGAACCATTTGTATGAGCAGCTGAGGCATTTGCCTAGCTATCAACCAAGAAAACACCACTTCCAATGCAGCATGGTGTAGAGCTGGCATGCGGCAGATCACCATGAAGGCTGCAGAGGCAAGGCTCTGTTGGCAAAAACTGTTCTCATTTCCCCATTTGAATGTAGACACATTTGAACTACTCCTTTGCCCAGTGGTCAAGTACACTGCGTAAGCTGTCAAAGACTAGATCCAAGTTTGATTCCCTTTTGGGTGTTTTGAAAATCTCTTCCTATGTTCGTATGATGGAGAATAGTTGCAATGCCCTTCCAAGGGCCAACATCCATTTCCACCTATTCTTCCATAACTTGCATGTGGTCTGGCATGGACCAAGGCATTGAACAGCAAGAATTGCTATACTTATGTTTTGCTTGCTTCTTAGGCTTTCCAGAAGGTTATTCTAAGACTATGTCCTTCCCATCAGGGCTACCCAGGATGTTCAGTGGACCGCCCTCTCTAAGCTTTTGTCAGCATTAAGTCTCTTATAATCACAGTGAATTTAAGGGGCACAATTTTTAAATTGAATAATCTTTAATGGATTGGAGCCAAGGGGCTACAGAAACATTGCCATGGAAGGTCAGTACACCAAAAGCCATAGTCAAGTTTTTCATTTTAGTGGAATCACATTCTTGCAAAGAATGTGTATCTGGTGATAAGTATGGCTGTTGCACTCCATCCCTCATTTCCCCTAGCTAAAAAACAAACAAAAGAGAAACGTAACACAGAGAAGTCTTGGTTTTGTTTCATATCAGCCTCTTCTACCTTCTGGTTACCAAAACCCCCATTCCCTACTGTTCTTCCCAGAGATAAGACTTCCTTAAAGTGACAAACAATACGCAGCAATAGGTTGCTGAGCTCTGAACAAGGAGCATAGGATGAGCGCAGAATTAACCCACATATCCAGGCTGCTCTGAAGAGAGCAAGGGGATCCCTCTGCAGAGTTCTAAAAGACTACTCTGCCCATCAAAAATCTGACAATAATTCATTTTCCCTTTTTGCTTTTATAATGCATTAGACCATGACAGCAGCACAAATCTCATTAAAAACGCTTAGAGGTTTTGCTGATGGATGTCACAAAACCTATTTACTGTACATAAGGAAATGTGATATCCTCTGTTTTGCCAGCTCCTGAAATCCATTTAAATACTAGACATCAGTTTCTGTTCCTTAAACAACAAAGATCTGGTGAAAAAATATTTGGAAACCAGAAGAAGAGAAGTCAGACAGTGCCTGTTCATGTACCAGTTACTGCAGCTGTGCGTGAGACTTCATAAACCGTGGCTCATCTTTGTCATTTAGGCAAATGCATTTAGATGTTTGCTTTTAACCTCAACATGTTTTAAGCTATTATTACCCTTGCCAAAACATTGTCCCAGTAGTCACGCTACCACTTGTGGAGTCAGAGATGAAAAGACTTTCTAAGGTCACCAGCTAACTGTCAAGTATGTTTAGAGCTGCAGAATTACAGACACGGAAGAGAGACTTGGCTTGCTGACACAGCGTTCAGCCAGCTCAGTTATTCAGCTGACATGATGAACAGGCACACACAGTCTCTAAAGACAATGCTTAAAGTCGATACAGGCACCTCACCCACTATGGCAAATTTTTGTTATCAGGACAGGTAGGACAGTAAAAGTGCAAAGAGAACTAACGTTGAACAATTTAATGTTCAAAAGCGTAACACACATTGTCCTCACAAAATATGAGCAAATAATGAGTTTTTCAGCCTCAGTGCCATTGCTTCTTAAAGGATACACAGCATTTAGAAAGATTCTTTAAACGGGTGGAAAAAAAAAAAAATCACAGCTCTATCATGTTAACAGTGAGCAATACTTCTGTGCAACACAAAATATTCTTTTTTTTTTTAGATGAACCTCACTGTTCACATAAGATGATGAATTTTGCCCTTCACCTTGGGCACCAGATCCAGGTGAAAATATTTTAATTAATCCTGTACAGTTCCCCAAGGTGCATTGAATGGGATACAGTCTGCCTACCCTTGATTAGTCTAGAGTGGGCTTGGTAGTGTAGGTTAATGGTTGGACTGGATGATCTTAAAGGTCTTAAAGGTCTTTTCCAACCTAGATGATTCTATGATTCTATGATTCTATGATTCTATAAATCAGGCATATAATTTCCACCTGCGTTGTAGGGGTCTAGTAAATCAGCCCTACTAATGTGAGTTCCATAAGTAACCCACAGATAAAAGCAGGTACCTTGAAGAAGTTCAGGACTTCAGCTACTTGGACAGAATCTTGGCCTAAAGTCTTCACATACGCATCTCCACTGACTAGAAAGGTACTTCAGATTTATTTTAGGGAAGTTGCTTCACTATATGTCAATTAATAATCTGCATTAGGAGGACTAAGCCAAACACTCTGTAGCCAACTCTAGCAATTTTGTAATGTATTTAAGACAAGTTGCTTTTTACTTTGACTCTTAAGCCATAAAAATCACATGAATAGATCAAAAACTCATTTTCCTTTTCAATCATCAAATTTCTATACTCCATGTTGAGAGGGAATGGGCAAAGCTATAACGTCTCAAAAGATCAGAAGTCAAAGAACAAATATTTTTAAAAATACATGGAATTGTCAGCGCTACAAATCCTAAATTTAAACATGAAAATTTTTGAGCAGGACCTTAAGTCAAAAAACGCCAAAGTGTTCACTTTTGAACTCTTCTTATTTTTGCCCTCAGTTGTAGAATCATTGAAAGGTTCGGGTTGGAAGGGACCTTTAAAGATCATCTAGTTCCTAGTGCCGTGGGCAGGGATGTTATCCATGTTAGATACATGGAAATGAGATATGGAGCTTAGAATTTGAGCATCAGCATCATCTGGTTATGGATCCGAGGTGAAAGTCATCTACTTTAGATAAAAGCGATGCAAAAGTATTAATTTTTTTCTCATTTTCAAATAACCAAATTTCTCTTA